TGCAATACAGGTAGGCTTATAGCCTCTGGGATGTCTTCCTCTGACTGCCTGGAATGGTAAAGTTTCATGACATTAATGTGAACAAGTTGTGAATCTTCTCGGCGATCAGGAGTATGGACTATATAGTTGAGGGGAGATAGTTTATTAGCATTGATTTGAAAGTTTTGATGGAACCGTTCCAAGCAACCTTGGGATGGTGGGTGGTAAGCCTAAGATGTACAATGGTCCACACTGAGGTCTTTCATCACCTGTTTGAACAAAGATGGATCAGATTGTTGGGCTGTAATGAGGTCATCCTTACTAATGGTCTTATTGTACAGATCTTCTGGGGGTAGGAAGACTTTGGAGGTGGTTTTAGATGAAGACGGCCCATTTCGCACACTCTGTGACCGGGTGACAGCACAAGATGGGAAAAGATGAGGAATAGTTTCTTTAAGGTCAGTGGTGGAGTTTACAGGTAAGGGAGAGTCGACTGTCTTTATGTTAGGAACCACTAGATCTCCTACCAAGTCATTACCCAATAATAAATGAATGCCGCACACAGGCATTGGGTCTTTCCTAATGGCTATTTGCACTTCCCCAGTAATCAAGGGACATTGGAGGTGCACTTTAGCTAAAGGATAGGAAGAATGGGATGAGTGATCTGAAATTAGAACACTCATTAGTAAATGCGGTAGATATATCAGGAATGACGTTAAACAGGAGGATAGATTGTGCTGCGCCCGTATCACATAGTATACGAATAGGGAAAGAACGAGACCCCTCTATGATTGAAATTTTCCCTCATAGGTGAATGAAGAGAAGAGATCCTGATGGGGCCTTTCCACATTGGTGGTTGCTATTGGTTTGGATTTGGGATCCAGGGAACTACTTTTAGCAATTCGACACTTTGGGTGTTTACAAGACTGGATCGTATGGCCTGGGTTTTTACAGTAAGAACAATAAAACTTGGTTGCATCAGGTGGGGTAGGTGTGGGACCTTTCGACCTACCACTCACGTCCCCAAGGTTATCATCAGAGGAGGACCTAACATGTCGGAAAGTACCACGTTCCCTACGGCACAGTGACTCCACCAGCAAGGCGTACTCATCAGCCAGCTCAGCCGCACGCCCTAAATTAACCTCTCCACGATCCTCCACATGCTTCAAGATGTGAAATGGTATCTTGCTCTTCCACTCCTCCAGGACTACCAAGTTTAACAAATCCTGAGGTGGCCATTAAGAAAACCTAGATAAATTAATTAATGGTCAAAAGATAAGTGGATTACCCTAGAAAATATCACGGCAGTGGATAACCAGAAAGTCCCGGAAACTACCCAAGTTATACCTAGGGAAATTACACTTATGAATATTGTTCTTCTGAGAATATCCTTAGATAAGGATAAGAGACTTGAAAGGGGAAGGGCGTATTACGGCATTAATATAAAGATCCGGATTAACAACCCTGAGATACTTGAAAGAGGAAGGGCGTATTACGGCATTTATATAAAGATCCGGATTAACAACCCTGAGATACTTGAAAGAGGAAGGGCGTATTACGGCATTAATATAAAGATCCGGATTAACAACCCTGAGATACTTGAAAGAGGAAGGGCGTATTACGGCATTAATATAAAGATCCGGATTAACAACCCTGAGATACTTGAAAGAGGAAGGGCGTATTACGGCATTAATATAAAGATCCGGATTAACAACCCTGAGATACTTGAAAGAGGAAGGGCGTATTACGGCATTTTATATAAAGATCCGGATTAACAACCCTGAGATACTTGAAAGAGGAAGGGCGTATTACGGCATTTATATAAAGATCCGGATTAACAACCCTGAGATACTTGAAAGAGGAAGGGCGTATTACGGCATTAATATAAAGATCCGGATTAACAACCCTGAGATACTTGAAAGAGGAAGGGCGTATTACGGCATTTATATAAAGATCCGGATTAACAACCCTGAGATACTTGAAAGAGGAAGGGCGTATTACGGCATTTATATAAAGATCCGGATTAACAACCCTGAGATACTTGAAGAGGAAGTATTACGGCATTTATATAAAGATCGGATTAACAACTGAGATACTTGAAGAGGAAGAGTATTCGGCATTAATAAGATCGGATTACTTGAAAGAGGAAGGGCGTATTACGGCATTAATATAAAGATCCGGATTAACAACCCTGAGATACTTGAAAGAGGGAAGGCATTTATATAAAGCGTACCCTGAGATACGGCATTAATATAAAGATCCGGATTAACAACCCTGAGATACTTGAAAGAGGAAGGGCGTATTACGGCATTTATATAAAGATCCGGATTAACAACCCTGAGATACTTGAAAGAGGAAGGGCGTATTACGGCATTTAATATAAAGATCCGGATTAACAACCCTGAGATACTTGAAAGAGGAAGGGCGTATTACGACATTAATATAAAGATCCGGATTAACAACCCTGAGATACTTGAAAGAGGAAGGGCGTATTACGGCATTAATATAAAGATCCGGATTAACAACCCTTGAGTTTGGTATGATTGACCACGAATGAGATAATGAGAAGAACAATAATGGAGGCTTTATAATTATGGGGTCCTGGTAGAGCGGGGCATCCCAAGATATCACTTCACCCTAAACTAGTGACTATGGAACAGCCTACTCTGTCGTGAGGGTACGGCATTAAACAGATCCGGATTCTTCCCTACACTCGATAAGACTTACTACACGACTGCCACGTGTAATAACAGGTAAGCCTTATGATACTTGGAACCTAATATCCTACATCTGTCACTCTTACTGTACGGTAATACCAATATATGCATACACATATGAAGGAAACTTTAAACCACCGTAAAGCAATTGTGAACAGAAGTGACTGGGAGGAATAATTAACAAGGAGTTACAAGGGAGGAAGGAATATGGTACTTAAGGTCGGGTCCTGTCACGGTCGCCATTTGTTACGAGTTGGGGATTTAGAATATAGTTAAAAGTCTACCCAGATCCCAACAGGCAACAACAACAAAAACAAAGACAATCGGACTATAAAAGGGTAGACAAAGGATGCGAGTTTTTGTTGTGTATAATAAAGTACCATAAATTCCTTAACAAAATATTCAGCTATCTATAATTTACCCTTAACCATACTTAACCTAAACATTAACAGTATATACATATTTATACAACATAAACAATTTTGAAGCAAGTGGACGTGGGGGAGGCAATATAAGATTACAAATACTTAAGTGCGGAGCTGAGATGGTTGACGAGCAAGGCTGAGTATTGTAGAAGACGGTAGGTAGTCACTGTGCCGTAGGTTTCCAGGATAGGTGATCCTGTGGTCACTTCCCAGAGTGTAGTGAACTCTCCTCGAACTCGAGCTGACAAAGAAGACTTGGAGGAAGTGACGAAACAACCAGGATATGGAGAAGGGAAACCCCAGAGTGGTAACTAAGACGAGTCATACTCGTGTCTCGTCCCTAGATGGTGTTGCTCGTGGTGCTGGGTAGGTAGATCAGGACAATTGGTGGCGGGGTTCGTAACAATATATATATATATATATATATATATATATATATATATATATATATATATATATATATATATATATATATATATATATATATATATATAAAATATATATATATATATTTATATATATATATATATATATATATATATATATATATATATATATATATATATATATTATATATATATATTTATATATAATATATATATATATATATATATATATATATATATATATATATATATATATATATATATTAAAATCACGGGAAAATGGAAACAACGAGTACCTTAGCTTTCGTCTTTATTCAAGACATGTTGTGAATAAAGACGAAAGCTAGGATTCCGTTTTTCCATTTTGTATCATATCTTATCCACGTTTCATTGTGGATTTACATGAAATATATATATGTATATATATATATTATATATATAATATATATATGTATATATATATATTATATATATAATATATATATATATATATATATATATATATATATATATATATATATATATATATATATATATATATATATATATATATATATATATATATATATATATATACAGAGAGGCTGGCCACTTGATCTGGGACTGAGGACTGTGAGCCTGAGAGCAGTGTTAGAGATGCTATTTAGATCTGCTAGGACTGACGGGGTCTCTCAGTCTACTGCTCAGTGGTAGATCAGTAATGTGTGGTGTCCAGCTAAAGAACTGCCTAGCTCTTCCAGGGCGAATCTACCCCGGGGCTAACTGACAATTACGTCACGAAGGATGATGCATGGGTTCAAGCTTCCAGAAGCTCCTACCAGCAGGGAGGGTCGGTATGAGTCAATTCCTTGGCATGAACACCTGAATCAGTGTCAGCAGCGTTACAGAAATAGCTGTCTGGAAATGATCTTGTTGAGCCATGAATCATCCTTAATTGACGTTGCAAATATCTGACTAATCTGACTAATAATTTACATCAAATACTTGGAAGTCTACTTGTGATAATCAATGTACCTAGTTATCAAGTAATAGTCATTAATTAAATAAGTAATGAGCTTCAAAGGTATTATCGTCATATTGAGACATCTCTGGTCGACACACTGTCTCCAGACTGTGTACGTGACTAAAGCAGCTGCGTTTGAGCAGGCTAAATATATGCTTACTACGTGGTTGCTATGAAAACTTCTTTGACCCTGCGGGTCAATGTAAAATGCATAATGAAACTTATTCATCCATCGTGTATAATACTCTGGTTGCTATATTGGTTACAGGCTAAACGTGTGCTTACATGTGTGTGTGGTTGTGTGTGAGTGTGTGTGCGTGTGTGTATTTGTGTTATTGCGTTAGTGTGAGCGTATATGTATGCAACACGAGCTTACTATACGTTTCATTTTATTCAAGACGTTGGATAATGAATAAGGAGTGAGAGAGAGAGAGAGAAAGAGAGAGAGATTACACTCTTTTGATCTCAAACTAACCCTTTCCCCCTACAGTAAGGACCAGAAACGGTATGCCAGTGCTTCTTGTCGCTCCTCAACACCTACAGGTCTACCGTCTATTACTGTACACCGACGTGCCCTCCACCCAGGCTTCTGTCATCTTCTACGTCAACAACTACAAACAATCTTACTTCAAAAATTTCACCATTAATCAAGCTCATGTTTGGCATATATTTGATTTCTATCCAAGTGTAAGTTGAACAAGAATCAAGGCAACGGGATACAATTGGGTAACATTGCTAAATCCTCTTTATTTTTTGGCCCAATATTTTCCTCATGATTGTTTCTACAGATTTCATACAACTTAACATGTATTAGTAACTTGTTATTCAACAAAATATGTGAAAGTTTTTAATTTATGTGCAAAAAGAAATAGTGAAACCTCTATTAAATGTACAACATAAAGATGAAAATCCGTTATATCGACGGTCCGTTAGATGTGAAACCCTCAATTCATGGATTATATATATATATATATATATATATATATATATATATATATATATATATATATATATATATATATATATATATATATATATATATATATAATATATATATATATATATATATATATATATATATATATATATATATATATATATATATATATATATACAGTATATTATTATTTTTATTTTTTTACGGTGATTAGCCCGTTACTGACCCACATCGCGGCCTGGGGGGTGAAAATGTAATAATAATAATGATTCAGATCAGTAAAATTTTTAATACAAAATACAAAAATAAATAACAAAGACAATAATAATAATAATAATAATAATAATAATAATAATAATAATAATAATAATAATAATAATAATAATAATAATAATAATAATAATAATAATAATAATAATAATAATAATAATAATAATAAAGAACCATAAAGAAATAAAGAAATTAAAAAAATAAAAGATCAGGAGTGAGAAACAATATACATACAGGTATGTATGTTGCTGTCAATGGTAAGAGAAACAATTGAGACCCTGCAATTGTGTGTAAATGAGGCAGAAAGTGAGATCAGCAACCTGGGACTTGGTCACAATTTTCGTGATGCCCTATGGCAGCAAGGTCTACCATTAGACAACACATTATGCTTCCAATATCTTCCCAGGCAGTAGTGGGTCCGACTAATTACCCAAATGTACCCAAATGTACCCAAATGTAGCCAAATATACCGGAATGAAGTCAAATAATGGTCTTAGATGAATAAATCGGACTGCCAATCACTTCTCGACTAGTATTTGGTGTCAGAGTCACAAAAAATTGGAAAACTTACTTTAATCTGAGTTAATAGATCGCGTGCATGTACCGAGGGAGCGAGGAATTACCCAAATGTACCCAAATGTAGTTTTCCAATTTTTTGTGACTTTCTGACACCAAATACTAGTCGAGAAGTGATTAGCAAATCCGACTTATTCATGTAGGACCATTATTTGACTTCATTGCGGCTATATTTGGCTACATTTGGGTACAATTGGGTAATTAGTCGGACCGGGCGGTAGTACCTCCCTGTTTGGTAGCTGCCTACCTACTATGTAGAAGGAAGTCCGTTCTATGGAGGTATCACTGTACAGTATAGTTAGAAATAATAGAATGTATACATGGAAGAATTAGCAACTTTAAAAGTGTATATGTTCAGTTACCAGAAAAAAAATGTATATATTTTTACCAGGGGCATCGTTGAATTTCAGATGGAGCACTACGACTTCTGTTGTATTGGTAGGGATGTCAAAATTCTTCGTCTGTCGTATCATATTGTTTAAAGTACAGGTAATTTTTGTAAAGATCGTTTTCTGATCGACTGTGTATGTGATGTGTGTATGTAAAGAACCAATGTCATTCTTTTTCTTGTGGTTAGAAACAATGGCTATAATACAGTGAACCCTCTCAGTAGTGGACTTCTCAATAACAGAATCCTCCCAATAATGGACAGGGCTTGCAAGAATTAGTCTGTTATTGAGAAGGTTTACTGTATCCATTACTGTTTTGAGAGGTCCACTATTGGGGAAGGTTTACTGTAGCCATTACAGTACTTTATCAAGAAGTTTGTTATTGAGAGGGTTCACTGTATCCATTACTTATTAAGAAGTTCACTATTGGGAGGTTTTACTGTATCCATTACTTTACTGAAAAGTCTGTTATTGAGAGGTTTTACTGTATCCATTTCTTTATTGAGAAGTCTGTTATTGAGATGGTTTACTGTTTAACAATGGACATAATATATATTATTATGGTTTCTAGTTAAGGTAGTCACCCACCTTCCTCTCTTCGACAGCCTCAGAAGGTGTGGATAGCGGCCCCAGTAGCTCAACTGAAGACTTACGTGAACCATGTCATCAGACGCATCAAACTCAACAGTGATCATATTGTGGACTGGGTTCTCTGTGACTACTCCTGTTGTAAGTATTGAGAGAGAGAGAGAGAGAGAGAGAGAGAGAGAGAGAGAGGGGGGGGGGTATGTTTAACAGAAAACTGATTAAATGAGACAGAAAATGGTGAAGTGAAAACGAGAAAGATGTTTAACAAAGAAAATTATACAAAAATAAAACAGTAAACAAAGAAAATTGTAAACAAAGAAAACAGTAAACAACGAAAATGGTAAACAAAGAAAATTAAAACAATTATATAAAATGAAAAACAGTATAACTAACACTTATAGGATCCTTCATTTCCTCTACATGAATATCAGTTTATGATATTCTCAATACTGAATATCTCGAGATCACAGTCACTTGGTTGTAACTGGGCATTGGAGGCGTCACATCAGATGGTTAATGCTGCCACAACACTATTTTGGAAGCCTTGTGTGTGTGTGTACATTCCTCTTTATCGTCAAATTACTCAAATATCTTAATTTCCTTCTAGCTCTACCAGCACTAGCCAGTCCCTGCCCTACCACATCTACCAACACCACTACCACAGCCCACATCACCACAACCAGTACCTTTAACATCATCCTAGGTGTGATGTGTAGTGTGTTTATCCTCACTACACTCACTCTGTCACTCTATATTTGCTTCAGCAATAACAATCAACACTTGACCAGTAAGTATTATATGGTAGATTAATGTACAGTACTTAAAACATCAGAATTTTCATACTAGAATTACATGTTTTGTTATTTTTTGTTCGGGTTAGTTTAGGTTAGGTTAGGGTACATTAGGTTAGATTAAACAATGTTGGTTTTGTTAGGTTGAGTAAGGATAGGATAGGATAGAATAGACTAGACTAAATTAGGTTCGGTTAGGTTAAGCTAAATTAGTTTAGGTTATTTTCGGTTAGGCTAGGCTAAGCTAGGTTAAGTTAGGTTAGGTTATGTTACATTAAGTTCTATTAGTCGTCATACTGTATGTTCGGTCTTAACAATGTCTTCTTCACCCCACCACAGACCCCCCTCTGCCAGCTCACGTAGCATCTCCAGCAGAACCAGCAATGTGTATGAAACAGGAGTACTATGGAGAAGCCTGTGTAAACCACAGTTCTTCCCACGAGAGTGAGAGGAGCCTCTGTGGGATAACACTGCACAGAGAATCTGAATGGTCAAATGACCATCAGTTATAATGGATCCCAGTAGTCTTGAGCTGTGTTTACATTGGGAATTTTTCTTCAAATAAGTTCAGTGTACAGTAATTACAACCATTTTTAACTCCATCCTAACCTAATCTCCACGCCACCACCTCGGGAGAGGCTCCAGTGTTCATATTGGAACTATCGCCTCCGTCCAATCCAGCGTAAATGTAAACAAACCAGTGTTTCTCCCGTCATAGCATCATATACTGCAGGTATTATAGTAAATGCAGATTTATTGTGCCTCAGTCAGAAGGCGTCAGATCTAGTGGACCCCACTCCCTTGTAATAATTTTTTGCTACACATACACCGATTATTCATTAACCAATCTATATTCTTTATGGTGTTTTCTCCATTAGAAATAAAAAGCATTAACAGTGAAATATGTTCTAATTTATGAAATAGTAACCAATACCACTACAGGGTACCAAAAAAACTTCCAATTCCATTCAGAAATGAAATTTAATAAAAATCGAGGTTACTACTACTACTACTACTTTTTTTGTTCTTTTCTTTTTTTTAAACGTGGCCTCCAGCCTCCCCCAAAAGCCACACCTTCGCCGCCATTTTATTACCTTAATATTAAATTTCCTAATACATAAGTAGCTATCCTAGCTGTGTTGAGTTAGTTGAGCTGCAGATCTATGCAGCTGTTGTCGGCTTTGAGGCCGAAGCTCTCGTTCCCCTGAGGCAGAGCAAAGTTGACCGAAGGAGAGAGACGGACAGTCGACATCTCATCCAGGCTGTAACATAACTTCTGGGCTGCTGCTTCTGTTCGGAGATCACCTCCGCAAGTCCGACGTAGAAACATCTTGCACTTTTTCCCATTCCACCAGAGGTTGTGAACACTAGAGGAGTGAAGCTGCCTTGATCAACGTTCTGAATTCTCTCCCTGTATGCCCATATCTTGTCGTTCTCGTTCCTCCTGCGTGCAGCATCGAGCTACTACTACTACTTTCTTTCTTTTTTTCTATGGCCTCCAGCCTCCCCCAATAGCCAGATCTTCGCCACCATTTTATTACCTTAATATTAAATATCCTAATAATTAAGTAGCTATCCTAGCTGTGTTGAGTTAGTTGAGCCGCAGTCAATATGTGCAGCTGTTGTCGGCTTTGGGGCCGACGATCTTGTAGTGGATACTCTCCCCGACAACTACCACTGCCTTTAGTCGCTAATCAGCCGATCCCGCAGCGAGTTTCTCTGTCAAGCCTAGCTGTCTGGACTGCGTGGTGGTCGGCCAGCAGCAACGTTCACTTCCGGCGTACACGTGTATATAAGCCCACAGCCTCGCCGTTAAGGGGATGCCCAGATTCTTTCTACTCCTACTGTATTTCAGTCTCACCACTTTTTCTTCAATTCCTAATAATCTTCTTTCACCTCTTAACTAATGACTTCGTATCGTATCGTTAAGGGGATTCTACTCAACGCTCTCATACAGACATGACAAGACATAACAAGCTCCTCACCACACAGCAACTCTCTAGCACTGCATTGTATATATATATATATATATATATATATATATATATATATATATATATATATATATATATATATATATATATATATATATATATATTTATATATATATATATATATATATATATATATATAGGGCGTTTTTATATATATATATATATATATATATCATGTAGATCCACAATGAAAACGTGGATAAGATAAAGCTTGATAAAATCACACGGGGAAAAGGGAAACAATGGAGCACCTTAGCTTTCGTCTTTATTCAAGACATCTTCAGAGGCAACTGGATTACATAGACCCACTAAATAACTATCCTACATCTAGATCAAAGGTTTTCAAAGCATTTTTTAACCTTGGGCTTTGAAAACCTTTGCTCTAGATGTAGGATAGTTATTTAGTGGGTCCCTTATTTTTGACCTGACCTGACTAGTCACGTCGCCCCTTCTCTTAAGCTCCTCTACGTGTGTTGGTGTTGGTGTGGGGATTAGTGGATGACATCATTATGACCTGACCTCATGTTTAATAAGGTCACCCTGTATATTTAAGCCTCTCTCTGTCCATGTAATCCAGTTGCCTCTGAAGATGTCTTGAATAAAGACGAAAGCTTAGGTGCTCCGTTGTTTCCCTTTTCCCGTGTGATTTTATCAAGATATATATATGCATATATATATATATATATATATATATATATATATATATATATATATATATATATATATATATAGAGAGAGAGAGAGAGAGAGAGAGAGAGAGAGAGAGAGAGAGAGAGAGTCTGCCCGGAATATTAAATCGCGATAGGGCCGACGATCTAAGTTCTTGCAAAAATAAGATCATATGTCGTGAAGGCTGTCCTGGGATGCGAGTTGTCAAAACGTTTGGTTTGCTGGCAAGTGGTGACATTTGGCAACTGAGTACACATCACGGTCAGGTTTGCCAGATGGCCGTTTCCACGGCCAAATTTCTCTAATTAGGCCGTAAAAAACTTCGCCTGGCCGTGGAAAAATGGATGGTCACGGCCAAACTATTTGGCCGAATTTTGTAAAACACGTATCAATTCCTCATCTAGTGGATTTTGAAGAAAAGTCTAGCAGATTTTCAAATTTCACAATGAAAATGTTGGCTCAGTGACCTTGTAGTGGATCCCCTACAAACTACATCCACATTCCAATGCGACAGTATCCTAGTAACCAAACGAGCGGCCCAGGTGGGGGGGGGTGCGTCACCAGCTGCTCCCGTATCCTGGCAACACGGGGGGGAGGGGGGTGGATCGCCATCTGCTACGTCGGAGCCAAGAAACCGGCGAGTTCCCACGGGTTTACTTCCGGCTGCTGTTTATATAAGCTCTGTCTCTCCATTGAGATTTATTCTGGCCTACGTTCCTGAACGCGCAACACCTCCTCCAAGCAAGCTCCTCGCTGTGCAGCCCTCATTCACCCTGGAGGACAGCAACTTGCAACGTCTCTAACTAAGCTCCTGCACAGATACCTCCTTCAGCATGCTACTCACTGAACGTATCTTCCAAGCAAGCTCCTCACCACACGGCATCTCTAGCACCAGACTGTCTTTCATATAATATATTTTATATAAGAAAACCACCACCTAGAGTTTCCATCCATCCATCCTGAGTGCTACACAACATAATATCACGAACTCCTACAACTTCACCTCTTCACATGTTTACGTGACCTACTGAGCTGACTGATCTTTCTAGTTACTACCTTAGTTGTTCAGTCTGAACGTGTCCAGCTTATGGGTTAAGCTTCAGAGCTCTCAAAGCCATCTGAGTTACTTTCTGAAATTCCGAGTGCTAATTTTCAAAATGTCCAAGAGTAAATGGAAACGGTCCTACGACAGTGGTAGAAAATATAACAAACCAGGGGACGATGACGAACTAGACGTTTTTGCTTACGCCAACTGGTGTTATCAAGTTCTTCACCATTATCATGCTCCACTACCATTTCAGATTAAGGTAAATCTTCACTGTAGATTATATATATTATGTTAATGTAATTATTGGGCTCTCAATTCTAAGTGAAAATTTGGTTTTATTACGACATTTTAAGTGGATATTGTAGGGGATAATTTTATTTTGCGTGGATTGCAAAAATAGCCTTGTGCTTCCAATCAAAAAAGTTTTGGCCGTGAAGCTTGTCGTTCATCTGGCAACCCTGATCACGGTTTGTAGTCAGTGCGCCTCTGGCAACTGTGAGGGGAAGATTTATTGTGCAGGTTCCCGCGCCATGTGGCCGTGTTTTGTCTAGTTTAAGGTGCATTAACCTGACATAGTGGCCATCAGAGATGTCCAGGAGGGTTACTACAAGAGACGATATTGCAGCAGTGATTGCATTGTACAAAGCGAACCATGTACTGAGAGAAATATCGGCTCAGACTGGTGTGGCATTACGAGTTGTTCAAAATCTTGTCAAACGTTTCCGTGACCTTGGAGAGGACGAGTTACCAGCTCCATTACCTAAGTCTGGTAGGCCTAAATTATTGTCTCCACGGACACTTAAGGTTATTTCTCGACAAGTTCGGTCCAATCCCTCACTCACAGCACGTGAAGTGAAAGAGAGAAACACCCGTCTTTTGAGTCACGTCTCGTTACGTTGTGTTCAACAAGCCCTGCACGATGACCTGGGATTTAAGAGCTTTCGTGCCCGCCGTAAACCTCTGTTGACAAAGAGACAGAAGGAAAATAGAGTGAAATTTTGCAAGAAATATGAAGTGTGGGATTTAGAGACATGGAGGAGTGTATTATGGTCGGATGAGGCTACGTTTTCTGTGACTGGGAGTAATGGAAGGAGGGTGTACCGCCCCCCCCACTCAGACGCGCACCTCCCACAGTACACTGTTAAGCACCCTGCCTCGCTTATGATTTGGGCTTCCTTTACGTATTATGGTGTTGGTGAACTAGTAATCCTCCCTAAGAACCAGATGATGAATCAGTACAACTATCTTGAACTGCTCAGTGATTTCTTACCTGAATCATTTGATAAAGCTAAGGCAAGCCTTTTCATGCAGGACGGTGCCCCATGCCACACTGCTAAAAGTGTCATACAGTGGCTCAAAGACTGTGAGGTACCTTTCCTTAATGACTGGCCTGGCAGTAGCCCAGATCTTAACCCAATAGAAAATTTGTGGTCCATTGTTAAGCGTCGTCTGCGCGACGCTGACACATCATCAATCCCGAAGCTAGAGGCAGCCATCAAGGATACCTGGGCTAACTTGCCACCTGACCTCTTGCAAAACCTTGCTGACAGTGTTCCTCGAAGGCTAAAAGACTGTCTGAAGCGCAGAGGAAACACTACAAAGTATTAATTGAAGTGGTAAGTGTTACTTGACTTTATTTATATAACATAATCGTAAATATCAATATTTTTTCAGCACACGATCTCACAATCCGCGCAGAATATTTATATATATATATATATATATATATATATATATATATATATATATATATATATATATATATATATATATATATATATATATATATATATATATATATATATATATAACGCCATAGTGAGTTTCCCTTCTCACCTCCATCCTAGTGCGATCCTACATCACGTAAACACCACAATGGTGACCCCCGGAGTAACGCACTCACACAGGATGGATGAGAAGTGGATAGCTCTTCCAGTCTTCAATCACAACATTGATGACTGGCTAATCCACACGGAGGCAGATCTCATTGACTCTACAGCTACAGACGAACAGAAGTACGTCTCCCTGGTCTGTTCCCTGCCCACAGAAGTCGCCACACAAGTTGCAGAAGTCATCACTAAACCCCGAGATGACAGCAAGTTCGCAGCTCTACGAGATGCTCTCAAGAGGCGATACCAGCGCCCTGACACTAGTTTCCAGCAAGACCTATCCAATCTCTCCCTCGGCAACTCAACGCCTGCACGCTTCTGGGACGAGATACGGAGACTGAACTCCCACCACAAAGACAGGCTTCCTGACACTATCCTATGCCAGCTTCACACTCAGAAGCTCCCTGCAGAAGTTCGTCTCATTCTGACTGCACTGGACTACTCTACAACCCCGGCGACCTACGCAGCCACGGCAGA